AAATTACTAAAACCTCAAAAGACAAAAACAGAGCTGAAAATGGTCCTGCTATATTGGAAACCTGGGCTGCAGCTAACAAAATGAAATTCACCAGAAGTCTGCATTTAAGCAAAGCAATTCATACACAGCAAAATGCACAAATATAGGTTAGCTTCACTGGCAGTAATCCACAGGAAAGCATCTCTGGATTGCAGTTGATCATGTGATACAGTTGCAAAAATGGCTAACACAATTGGAGATGAGTTCTGTGCCCCTCTAGGCAGCACTGGATAATTTGGATTCCCGGACTTGAGGCTGGAGACGGAGGTCTCACCTCAGAGCTGGGGCTCTGTACTTCAATAGCCTTTCCTCCCCTTGCAGCCAGCAGGGGGAAAGAATCATGCTGGCAGCCTTTCAAAGGTCAGGAAAACAACCTCAGAGACAGAATGAACAAGGTCATTCTGGTGGAAACAGAGGGGAAGAGTCTAGGGCTGCTAGGATAAGCTGCATCCTTATGGTGCTCTGGGCATCTTCCTTCTAAAGTTCATCAGTTGACCAAAACCTCATCTTGTGGAAATGCAGAGTGGGAAGGGGAGATTGCTTCCACCCTTCTCCCACTCTCCGCTGGATGCTTGTAAGCATCCAAGGTTGGGACTGAGAAGCATCAAGGGCATAATCAATAAGGCTGTGCCCTTTATGTGAAAAGCAAACACTTGTTTCCGAGTCATGAGAAGTACTAGAAGGTCAGAGGGGGGCAAGGGAGGTTATCAGCAGCAAACAAGGAATGGGTGAAGGAACTGGGTATGGAGAAGACGGGGAAGGAAGGAACTGGAGAAGAGAAGACGGGGGGAGTGGGGGAACATGATACGCTTCAAATATCTGAAAAGTTGTCACATAAAAATAGCCATCTCGTGTGCTGCAGCACCAGTGGGCAGTACTAGATCTAAAGAGCTTGGTTTACAGGAAGACAAATGTTAGTTGAAAATTAGGATAAACATCATGATGCAAAGAGTAGTTAGACAATCAAACCACATATCCAAAGGCCGCTGCAGCTTTGTAGGCAGAGGCTGGGTTTCCTGCGTGAAGTAGGTAGTTGAGTACAAGGTCCCTCCGACTCTGTGGTAGGTCTTCTATACATGCACAGACATTTCCGTTTGTCACTGGAGAACACATCACTAGCTTGCTATTTTACAACAGTTCAGATGTTGTAAAAGGGATCTGCTGTATTAATATGGCAAATAAAACCTTTTGCAGAGAAATAACTATGAAGGCAATATTAACTGATTGCAGCAGCAAGTCAGTTCAAGCAGGAGTTGTTCATACAAGTTTTCACAAATGACTGAGCTCAAACAGCGAGCAGTGGAACAACCCACAACGTATGTAGTTCCAGCAGATGGTCTTCTCTTGAAGTCAAGTGCAATTTAGCATAAAGGCTTTCACAGCATGAAGCCAAGATTCACCTTTTGTTTGATGAGGAAGGAGATCAGGCTCAGTGAAGAAAGAATGGATTATAACTCCACATTCTTTTGCAATGAGTTCCATCACACACAGAGTAGATGTAGCTTTAAGAAACTGCTCCTGCTTTTTTCCTTTCATACTGAAAAACCACGATTCTTGACAGAGTAACCTCTCCAGCCACAGTCCACCCAGATGCCAGGCTAAGATCAACATCCAAGGCCTTCCTCCCAGGGCCAACTCAGAGGGTAGCAATGGGGAGGGGGTTTGGAGCAGTGTCCCTCCACTGCCAAATGATCTGGCACCCACCTGGCCCAAACCTTTTCTTCCTTCTGCACCAGTTAGGATGGCCCTTTACATCAAGGGATGTAAAGACTTCCAAGTATATTTAATGGCTTGAGAGGAATACCTCTCCCAGGTGTTTTACAGGTCTATGCTGTATCATATATTATTTTAGCTGTTTTAAAGTTGTTTTTACATTCCTGTATTTTGTGGTGTTTTATTGCATTTTCAGTTTTATAATCTACTGTAAACTGCCAGGAGAGTGTCATAGTCCTGGAATTCCAGTTGCAAGGAATGAGCACTCAGATCTGCAGGACAGACCAAATTGTCTTGTTCTTCAGCAGTTTTATTGGTGAGACACCCCAGTCCTCTAACTTCCGACAGCATCCTCCTGGGTAGTGGTCCTCACAGCCAACTACAAGCTTCTAGATTGTATACAGAGTGTTCACAGCAGCAGGGCAGATGATGATGAGATAATGAAATAATGGGAACACACTCAAAAGAATGTGAGAGATCAGCAGTGGGGACTTCATGCAATAGTGTTGATTACAGGAGACTGTCATGTCAATCAGGAAGGGAGGGATTATTGTTGGTCTTGGCTGAGGGTATGAACTTGTAAATTAGGATGACTGCAATACTGCTAGGAAAGCCTGGCTGCCTGCCTTATCAGTTTTGTTGCTGTTAGCACAAGAATAGACAAGGGTTAGCTAGGGAGTTCCAGAAAAACATCTACTTCTGCTTCATTGACTATGCTAAAGCCTTTGATTGTGTGGATCACAGCAAATTGTGGCAAGTTCTTAAAGAGATGGGAGTACCAGACCATCATATTTGTCTCTTGAGAAACCTGTATGCAGGTTAAGAAGCAGCACTGAGAACTGAACACGGAATCACTGATTGGTTCAAATTTGAGAAAGGGGTTCGGCAAGGCTGTATACTGTCACCCTGCCTATTTAACTTATATGCAGAGCACATCATGAGAAAGGCAGGGCTAGATGAACCACAAGTCAGAATTAAGATTGCCGGGAGAAATAGCCATAACCTCAGATACGCAGAAAACACCACTCTAATGGCAGAAAGTGAAGAGGAACTAAAGAGCCTCTTGATGCGGGTGAAGGAGTAGAGCACAAAAGTTGGCTGGAAACACAACATTAAGAAAACTAAGATCATGGCATCCGGCCCTCTCACTTCCTGGCAAATAGATGGGGAAGAAATGGAGGTAGTGACAGATTTTATTTTCCTGGGCTCCAAGATCACCACAGACCATGACTGCAGCCAAGAATTAAAAGACGCTTGCTCCTGGGGAGGAAAGCTATGGCAAATCTAGATGGCATACTAAAAAGCAGAGACATCACCCTGCCAACAAAAGTGTGTATAGTCAAGGGTATGGTTTTCCCAGTTGCAATGCATGGCTGTGAAAGCTGGACCATAAGGAAGGCTGAGCGCCAAAGGATTGAGGCCTTTGAATTGTGGTGCTGGAGGAGAATCCTGCGAGTCCCTTGGACTGCAAGGCGATCAAACCGGTCAGTCCTAGGGGAGATCAACCCTGACTGCTCTTTGGAAGGCCAGGCACTGAAGATGAAACTCAAATACTTTGGCCACCTAATGAGAAGGAAGGACTCCCTGGAGAAGAGCCTAATGCTGGGAACAATAAATGGCAAAAGAAGAAGGGGACGGCCGAGAATGAGGTGGCTGGATGGAGTCACTGAGGCAGTCGGCATGAGCTTAAGTGGACTCTGGGTGATGGTGGAGGACAGGAAGGCCTGGAGGACTGTTGTCCATGGGGTCGCGATGGGTCGGACACGACTTCACAACTAGCAACAACAACAACTTTTCTTGAGAGCTCCCCTTAGGCAAATACTTTCAGGTGAGCAGAGAGTTCCAATCTCTTAAGTGAACAGCTCAGGCTAAACAGAAGCCTGGCTTGGAATTCTGGTTCTTTCTGAGAGAGAGGCAGAGACATTGCAGGTTTGATTATCTAACGCAAAGGCACATATAAGCAACCCTTTTCTATAAGGATTTATCTGAATTTTCCCAATAAGATCCTTGGCTATTGGGTGGTATAGAGATGAAATAAACAAAATAATAATGACATGGGTGGAACAAACACATAAAGATTTTCCAATTCCCAACGGCCTTCTAAACATTGCAGTTTCCTTTCTGAATAGAACTTGAGAGGCTTGGGAGAATTCATAGCTTTATTTCACAAGTTAGGAGTCCATCCACAACCCTGAGTGTGGAAGGTCTGTTCTATAAGTCCAGTTCCATAGCATGAGAATGCTCAGTTCTGAACTAGTGTAACAATAGCCTAAGTGCTCTGACTTCTTGGGATTAAAATCACATTGTCTCTCTAGGAATCTAAGTGTAAGCAAAGACTTAGGGGCATGATTCCACAGATGTTTACACAGGTAGATGTCTGCTTGCTTAAGTGTATCCAGGAAGGCCCACCTCCGGTGCAGTTTATGCTCCTATTTTACCAGCCTGACTATATCCATTGTCTGGCTTTGTTTAGCAACAAGTGAAATGGGCCAACACTCTAATCCAGCTGCCAACAGTGTTTGCTAGGGCATAAAAGCCACAATTTTACTCAGTTTTGTTCCATGGAAATTAAGTTTAAGGCTTTACCTGGCTAGAATGCATAGACCCATGGATTTGCCAAGAGCAGTCTAGACCAGTGACCAGCACTATATATTGTTGCACTAACCAATGTGAGAAAGGAAAAGAAGTATTTTCTGTCCTCATTTGTTCTTCAAAATTTTGATTGGGTGACTTCAAGTTCTACTGTTTAGAAAGAAAATCGATCCACCTTCTCCAAGCTGTAACAGCCACTCCCTTTTTCTAGTCTTTTCTCTTCTTTACAGTAATGGAGTGCTTCTCTGCTTCCCATTAATGAATCGAAACCTCTTCCAAGTTCCATTGCGATTTAAGAAAACGAAAACGCCTGGTTAACCTGATCAAGTGCCTGCTTTGTCCAGCACAGATATTGTGGGGTTCTTTCCCATACTGCCAGCAGCAGCGCCTAGGAAGAGTCTCACAGGCGGCTGAAGTCTAGGGGAGCTGAAAATTTACTGTGCTCTTTATTTTGCTGCGGCAGAAACAGCAGCTCCCCAGGAAGTCAACTCTGAGACAAGCTCTAATCACGCCATGTGATCGCTGTGCGCCGATTAGGTGGTTTGTTCTGGTTAGCCTTAGGCTAGGCGAGAGGATGGGAGTTCAGCATTGAAAGCATGTGACAAAAACATATTTTTACATCACCTTCTAGGACAGGATTTCCAAGGGCAGAGAGAGAGGGAGAGAGGGAGATCAGCAACACCCAGCCACCAGCACCTTTCAAGGTAACAAAAATGTAACATAAAAAAGTCAAGTTTAAACTTCAAATGCTCTTTAAATACTACAAGGCGTTGGAACTTGATTGGGCATAGCAAGTGTTAACAGCACAGCGAAGGGTCTGATTGCAGTGCCAGGCTGGCACATTTGCAGAGTAGATCAGAACCTGGATTAGAGTTGCTGGGGCTGGGTGAAAAAAGGGTTGAAGCAGGTGGCAAAGGTAAGGAAGCAAGGCTTGAAGCAGGTTTGAAGGGCAGTCAGAAAAGAGCACTTTGTGGGCTAGGAAACAAGATGCCATTTTAATCATTTGCTGTGAAATCTCTGCATACATTTATTTTTGGGGATGCATGGATTGTATAGATTTCAGTAATGGTCAGAGCAACATTACTCAGACCAGACACCAAATGTTTCCAGGTTCAGAGAAAGGTTGTCACTTTCTGCTTCTTGGACAGCTAGAGGTTCCAACACACCAGTGTCAAGAACAAGCATTATTGTTTCATACAGTGAGCATAATAATCGCACATGACTGGAGATGATGGCTCACCACGTGCTGTTTCTGATTGTCTTATGTTTTATACAAAAATACACCTTTTTCTGGCACTCTTCTGTTGACGCACTGCACTGGCATGTGAGATACAAATTTCTAGCTTGTTATTGATTCATAAATGTAATGCATGCAAACAAATCCAGTGCAAATATCTAATGTGGTTTTTCTTCATGGTAACTCCCTTTTCAAGAAGCAGTTATTGAAAAGAAGTACTGATGAAAGTGAAATATTTATGGAAGCGTGTGAAGTATCAGATATGTTTTTGTCTACCTTGCATGCAACAACCAATCTAGAAAACTGATATGAGTGGAATTTAGGAGTATTCAGCACTGTGCATGCAGGCGTAGGTGGGCAGTTCCCATTTATAAATCGCTATAGAATGCCATTCCAGAAAGTGGACCCAACCTCAGAAATTTTTAGTGGCTAACATGCAGCAGAAACTGAGAATTGGTAACAAACATGGAAATCCGTCAACTCACAAGCAACTGTTTGCATGTTTTTCTCCCAGACCTACAAATGGAATGATCAGAGGTTGTCTAATGTTAGACTGATCTGTGTGTTTATTAATGTCCAGTTTTTCTAAACATTTCTGGTGTATGGCTTATTTGTAAATTAGGAATTCTATAAAAATATTTTTAGATCAAAACTATAGCAGTTAAAACACCAGCCATAAATATCTGGCTGATTTTTGGTAATTCCATCAATATTTTTCTATAATAGGTCTGCCTGCAAAAGTAACCATCTTAAGTTAGGGATTTAGATATCGGGGAATTGCATAGAGCTACGGTGATGTGCAGTAAGCAGAAAGACGAGTTTGGAGGTGGGAAACCTGGGTTTACATCATTACTAAACCAGAACGTCCATTGAGTGGTATAGATCTGCTCTCTGTTACAGCCTTTCAGTAGGCAACCTTTCGGGGCTGAGGGCCCATTTGTTAATTTGAGGAACTATCCTGGGCACCCTCTGGAATGCACCCCTAGGAGGTGCAGCAAAAGACAAGTATCCCACCCAAGAGACGGAGTACAAGGCACAGGTGGGATCTGAGCCCCAACACTAAGCAGCTCCTTCAAATGCAGAGATTTCACAGCAATATCAGCTCTGGGTAAGAAAATGAGTTTGTTTGTTTATATTTAATGTGTGGGAGGGAGAGGCCACTTTGGCTTGCCCCAGGAAAGTTGTCCCAGTGACGCATTGGTGTCTACCTTCGCCACACTGCCTGTCTCTGCTCTTTCACTTGATCTGCTCTACACAGTTGGATCATTGTGAAGCTAAAGCAACTACTCTGAGCTCCTCAGAAGTGTGACATTTACGAAGTAATTATATTGAAGAGAATCGTGACTAGCTTAGTTTTCTTCTTTCTCTCTGCAGGGCTCCTGATTATTGCAGTTTTAAAATAAAATCATTTCTAGACCTGTATACAGGCACCTCAGGGACTGTACCATGTTCTATTAGGAAAGGAGTTTTTATTGGTCATGTCAGTTGGTATAATGCATAAATATGCACTAGGCCTCTACAGCTTCCAGGCTGCCAGCAAAACATATGAGGCTTTTGGAAGCTGTTATGGGCTCAGTTAGTCACAAGTTATGCATTCCTGATCCTTTATTTAGTCTCTCCCTTCCGTAATGGTGTTAAGTGAAGACCAGTGTAGCTGATGTTCCTGTTGTATGTGGACAAATGCACAGCAGGCAGAAGTGCATCTGCACTCTTTCCAGACCAGGCCGACACATCCTATATTAGCAGGTCCATGAAGGCTACACAGTGAACACTGATGGCCTGGTTTGCAAACAACACTCTGCGACACTGTGGTGTGTAGCACTGTTCTGATAAGAAAAGATACATCATTTTCCTTAGTTTGGAATCTAATAGTGGTTCTATATATTGACCTACCTTTCTTATTTTAGTTCGACAGTTTTTATATCATGTTTACACCTTACTGTGTTTTGCCAAAGTTATTCTTTTTTATAACTCTGTAAGGCAAGTCTTACAAAGTTTTTAGGCTGCATCTGCAGAAAGTGTGAAACAATACTTTCTAATATGTGCGGATGGGAGATCAGTGGGGTGTTAACCATTTCTGACTATGTAAATGCCAGTTTGATTGATTATTACACTTGAGGAAACAGCATGGTCGTGTTGAATTTCATTAACTCCTTCATGCTCCAAACACACTAGTTAAAAGTCAAAATACACCTGATGAGTAGGCTGACAACATAATACTATGAATATCAGTCAGGAGCAAATCTAAGTTTTTAATCCTATACCAATTTACCTGGAAGCAAGACCTGTTAAACTCAATTTATTTCTGACTAGACATATATGGGATTGTGCGTTTAGGTAACTTTATTTTAGTACTAATAGGAGAGTTAGTACAGTGTTGGTTATTTTTTCTTTACTGTTAAATACTCAATTGAATAAAAATCTTGTGATATTTCTATTTATAGCCTTTTGAAAATTCTAGCCATAGAATGAAAGGCTAGATGAAGTGATTACACTATAGGCTGATATAAAGCTATGTCTGCGCTGATGCCTCATCACTAAGTTATCTGCTACAGGATGGTATGCATCTGGAAGTACAAATTACCCTGATAGAAAGCATTGTGTTTTTTGATGCTGTCAAGTAGTATAAAAGTTGTCTGTGTTGTTGAACTTAGATATTATTTCTCACATTTCAGTAACTGTTTCATGTTGTAGGTATTAAATGATGCATATGTGAATTCCTCTAACACATCAGGGTTGAATAGGTGAAAGCTGCAAAGCTGATTCTGTGCTTATTTCTGTAACGGTCCAATGAGAGCAAGAGAGAGTTACTTTAATAAGCGAGAGAGAGTTCACTTTTTTTTTAGTGTGGCATACTGGTGAGAGTGTTGGGCTGGGAGTTATTCTAGTCCCCACTCAGCCATAAAACTCACTGGGTGCTTTGGGCCAGTCATAAACTCTTAGTCTCACCTACCTTGTTCTGAGGAAAAATTGAAGAGGTGGAGAACCTTGTAAGCTGCCCTGGATTCCTTGTGAGGGCAGGGAAGACAGGGTATAAATGAAATGGAGTAATAATAACAATCACTCACAGACCCATCCTGGCCCGTTTCTGGTATAGTAAGGTCAGGGGCCACAGACCCATTGCATTACTTAGAATTACTCATGAGTCACACGGAGCCATTAAGCTGGGGTAGGATATAGGCATCTGTAGGAGAGGTGAAGGGGTAGATTATTTATTTTTGCTATGCTAAGAGACCAGTAAACAATGAGGGAATAAAAGTGCAATGACAGAGCCTGACCTACTGGATGTATGGTGAGTAGCTGCTTAGGATATTCTCTGGTGGATCCTGTCCCTTTGGAACACAGATGCAAAGCAGCGCAGGGTTGCCTAAGCTGGCCAGCCTTGAGTCCAATTGTTAGACCCCTGCCTGTTATTCTTTATCTCCACATACTGAGCTGTCATTAGATCACCTTTATGTGTAGAATGCTTGGAATGTGTTTTCCTGTGATGATAACATTGGGTAACACTTGAATGTGCCCCTCTCCCCAGCCTGTCCTCCAAGTGCTTGCAAAGGACTCTAACCAGCCTTCCAGTGTCCCTGTGCTCTTGGGCTGCGAGGCCCCTGACCTGCCTGTTCAGGGACAAATGGCACTGCAGGTGGAACACTGGGAAGAGCCTAGGCTTGAATGGAAGCATCCTGCCTTTTCTCCAGATGCATGACAATATGAATATTAATTCTGCTGAGGGTATGCTGGCTGTTCTTTCCCTAGACCACATTTATGCAAAGGCAAGAGGTTAGAGTACCAATCAAATTATATTAGTCTCTTAATATCTGTTCCTAGCAGTCACTGAACATTTATAATCCATTCTGGAGAGCTACACAAATATGTGTTATATGTGTTCTCCAAGGATTTCTTCATGTAATTTGGGTCCCCCCTCACTTAGGCCTCAATTCCCTGCTGAAGAAGGGATGTTCCTCAGGGATGGGCTACCGATCAGGAAGTCTGGCCTGACCAGGTTTTGTTTGCTTTTCAACCAGTTGGCAAAATGGGAAGGGTCAAGGACCACCCCACTTCTTTGCTTTTTGTTATTCACATATTATTTACATTTAATGGCAACAACATGTGAAACAGCCAGATTATGCCAATAATCCTTTTTTGTCAACAAAAGCAGACCACCCATCATTATAAATCATTGGCAAAATCCAAAATCGTTTAAACTACTTCCACTGTTGCACAAAGTTAACACAGGACCTCCCTCCCTGACTAGTTCTAAGGATTCCATTTAATTAATGAAACAGTGGAAATCTTAATGACCTCTTACTGCTTTTAAGCATACATTTTATTTAAGATTTGCATTGTAATTCACAATTAAAAAAAATAAGAGTATAAATAATGAACATGGTGGGAATGATCCTCCCTCAGCTCACAGATTAACTTGGCAACAGAAAACCTGGTTCACAATGCCCTTCTGGCTGTGGAATACTG